GTTACAGGATTTAAGGACCTCGAACAACAACACAACTGCCGGAACCCAGACACATCAATCAAACAAACAAAATCTGAGCCTGAAAATGTTGCTTTGTTCTCAAGGTTTCGTGGGCCTCTCCCTCCAGCGATACCCGCGCGTGCTTCCTTCATTAGGCATGATGACCTGTTGGGCGGAGGCCTCACTGATTAAATCTCACGTAATCCCGTGACGATTTGATTTAGCCAGGACCGCCAGCAGCTGTATAGGCGCGCGCGCGTGTGTGTGTGTGGGGGGGTCAATAAAACGCAGATGATGCGGCGCGTGCGCGGGCTTCAATCATCGAACGTTGCACGTATTGGGGAAAAGGACCGGCTAAACAAAAACAAAGAAAACTATTAGGATAAGAACGAAGCCAACAAGACACGATTCACTACGTACAAGTAAAGCACTCCTACCCATCCTACCCTACTTCCGGCTGTGGCCTCCTCCTACTGATTTCGTCTGGTAGCAGGTGTATAGCAGGCAACCGGGTGTTGTAGTAGTCCCTGGGTGTAAAACTTCCAGGCTTCGGGGGAGCAGCGGGCCCAAGTGCCCCGTCCTGTCTCGTCGGGGCGCCCCGGGACCTCGCCCCGCTACTAACTGATCGGCGATAGGGCGGGCCGGGGCAGGGCGGGCCGAGAGGCAATGACGTCAGAGGGTCCTCTCATCTTCGCCTCGCCAGGGAGCGCCGCTCGCTGCCGCGTGCCTGGCGCTGCGTTGTGTGCGTTCCATACAAGCCACGGTCTTTGGGAAGGGGAAGGGGGGAGGGTCCTTTTACACGACCATTTTCTCAAAACAATGGCGCGTGCTTTGGTGTGGTGGCACTCGCGGCGTGCCAGCGGTGACTGTGAGGAAATGGTGGAGGGGAGAGGGGGAGGCAACACTGCGACACGTGTGCCCTGACAAAAACTGCGAATATTTATTCTCCCGCTTTGTGTCAATTTCAGGCCCAACGTGTGCGAGACGCGAGAGGAGTTCGACGAGAATGACAAGGCTAAGAAGCCTGCCGAAAAGAAAGACGAGGAGACCAGCACCTCGTCGAGCAGCGAGGAGGAGCACGGCGCGCTCGGCGTCCCGACCGGGCCGCTCGCCCCCGGGGGGCTGTTCGACAACTTCCACTTCTCCAGCTGCTCGCAAACGCCTACCAAGTACCAGTGCGTCACCCGGTGAGTAGCGGTATACCCCCCCCCTCCCCCTTTTCCCCTCACAAAAACGCTTCGCAAAATACTCTGCTCGTTAAAGGATTTGGGCGGAAATGGCAACGACCAAGTAGCTGATTCACTCCGCCCACTATCGCTCAGTTAGACTGCACCGCATGCACGAGTGCGGGCGGGTTGCCTACTCGATCGAGCCGCAAGGCGCCATGGTCAGAGACGATAGGCAAGCTGGCAAACCAGCGTCGTCGTCGGCGCAAAGCGGGTATAATCATCAAACTATACCAGCCCGCATGCAGGTGTGGGGTGGGGTAGGGGGAGGTTTGCCTATCGTCGCTAACCTTGGTTACTGCAGCCCATAGGCAACACTGGAGAGTTTGAAAATCGGCGACGGCGAACAGGTACAGGAGTGGTTAAGTTTTCAGTAACATCTAGATTCATGATTTTAGAGGCGTTAGTTCTCTTTTTAAATGAGGGGGGAGACAAAGAAGATGTTATTTTTGGCAGGTCGAGAGCGTCAGCGGGAGCAACTGGGGTACGTCCCCGGAAATGACTCTTCTCTAGAGTGTCAACGAATGAGCCAGCAACTCTTTCATTTTTTTTACGTCCTCTTTGTTCCTCTGCCGGATGGCTGGATGGTGGCGAGAGATGAGTTGAGATTTATGGTTCTCGCGAAGGATGTATGTGACCGCTCGCGAGGTAGACGTAAGCCCGGCGTGCTCGGGGGAGTCGCGGGGGGCGCAACCTGTAGTAACTGGCACATTATTACAGCGCAACGAGCGCAGCATACACGCGAGGCAGTAGAAAAATAAATGATAATCTTACTGTCGCATCGCCTCACGACATGTTTCTGGGAAACGAGCAAAGGAGCGACGCAGCCGGCGTCGCACCATAATGTGGGGCCTGGCTCCGTAGTCTTGCCCATTTGTACCCCCCCCCCCCCCCCCCGCCTTCATTCCACTCGCGCGTACAGGATTTGCATCTTCCACGACGACCCCGCGGCGGGGCGGGCGACGATGATATCATATGAGATTTGGTCGTTGTGTTTCAGGACCGTGAATCACGGCGTGCAGAAAAAGATTGTGACGACCTACAAGTGCTGCCATGGCGCCAAGAGGATGGCGGGGAAGCCGGGCTGCGTCATGAGTAAGTACCAGCGGCACGGAGCTGTTATGCTGCGCAGCATGCACGCGTGCGTGCGGGTCCCCAGCCTCGGCCTTAGCCTCGGCGCCCGAGGGCTCGAGCGAGTAGGCAGCCCGCCCGCACGCGCGTGCAGCGGTACAGCCGAGGAGCGAAGGGGGCCCTTAGGGACTCCAACTGGTGGGTGACCGAGCGCTTGTCGTTGCAGCGGAGCTGATGCAGATGGGGGCCGCCGCGCGCGACATGGACAGCGCGCTCTTCGCCAGGATGATCACCTCCGCCGACCTGGACGAGCAGCTCCACAAGACCCGCGGCACGCTCTTCGTGCCGACGGACGACGCCGTGCGCGACTTCCTGGACAGCATAGCCGAGCAGAACCGCGTGCGCCGCGCGCTGGGGTACCAGCACATGATGGGACCCGCGCCCCTCACCCCGGTCGTGGTCGGGGACGAGGAGACCGTGCCCGCGCCCGCCCGGGGGGAGCCCGTACCCGCCCCCGTCGCGCTGCCCGTCTCCGCGGTGCGCCAGGACGAGGGTGACGACGAGTATGAGGACAGAGACATGTACGTGAGGGCAACGAGATGTCGACGAGCTGCAAGCGCCTGGCGAGCACGAAAACTCATCGAGCGACTTGACGTTATTGTTACAGCGCCACAGATGTCCAGAAGAAACCGTCCGTCGAAAGTCGGCGCCCCGAGTCGAGAAAGGACATTGCCGACGACCGCAGCGGCCGACGCGAGGGCGAGAACGTCGCCGCCGGCCACGCCAGGGACCCGGAGGACCTGACCGACAGCACGCTCGTGCTGGCGCACTTCGTCGAGAACAAGCTGCTCGACATCGAGGACGACGCGCGCAACGACGAGAAGATCACGACCCGCGCCGGCTCCACGCTGCGCATCAACGTGTTCCCCGGCTTCATGGGCCGCACCTACACCGTCAACTGCGCCCGCATCCTGAAGGAGAGGCCCACGCTCGACGGCCAGGTGTACCAGGTCGACAAGGTGCTCACGCCCGTGCCCGCCGAGCGCACCCTGGCGGCCCTGCTGGAGAAGGACCCCCGGCTCAACACCATGCGGCAGCGTGAGTGTCTCGTCGTCGTGCTCGACACGGCTGCAGACGGGCTGCTCGTGCTCACATTCCCCTCACTCTGTCCTCCTGATCCACAGTGATGCGCGTCGCCGACATGATGGACATGCTCCGGGAGGAGGGCCCCCTCACGGCGTTCTTCCCTACCGACGAGGCCTTCAAGCGCATGGACCCCGTGTTCCGCACCGAGCTGCTCAAGGGAGAGGCCTGCGTGAGCTGTGAGTATACATAGACACCACACCACACCCACACATCCTGCGGCCTCCCACCGCTCGCATTAGTCCGGGGAGTCGGATACTTTTTAATGTTTATTTCTTTACCGCCCGCGGCAGCGTTCATCCGCAACCTCATCAGCAAGCACACGGTGTGCACGGCCGCGGCCAGGCTGCGAATCAAAATGCCCAACCTGGACGGCGACTACCTGCTGCTCGAGCGCATGGCGTCGGACGACGGCAAGTTCACCCTCGAGAACGTCGAGCTCGGCGCCCGCGACATCGTCGCCTCGAACGGCGTGCTGCACCTCCTCAACGAGGTCATCGTACCCGACTCCGGTAGGCGGCCGTGTGTTTTTATGGGGCGATTTTCTACTATTGGTGGTCGACGTGCTAATGCAACCCCTACGCCCTCTCCCCTCCATCTCTTTTCCAGCCCGCCCTGTCAAGGATGTCCTCAAGTCTCGCAACCTCACCCGCTGGTACGACCTCCTGGAGAAGGCTGACCTCCTCAGCGAGCTGGACCCCGCCAAGAACCTGACCCTCTTCGTGCCCACCGAGGCCGCCCTGAAGTCCCCCGAGGTGCTACACTAGTGCGACACGCGCAACAGACCATCTGATTCACTCTTTACTTTGCCAGAGACCCGGACGAACAAAACGTGTACGTTTTTGCAGGCCGAGTTGCTGCTCTCCGGCAACGACAAGGAGGCCATTCGTAACCACCTGCGCTACCACATCGCCGAGAAGATGTTCGAGGCCGACGAGCTGACACACGGACAGAGCCTGAAGAGCAAGCTGGCCGACAAGGACCTGCGCGTGTACCTGTTCTCCACGGTACGTCCACGCGGCTGCGGCCGCTCTTTTGTTCGCGCTTAGCCGCTCAGGCGCCCCCTTACACGCCCTGCTGGCCCTCGCTCTGCTCTAGATCCCGTTCCTCAACGGCGCCGTGACAAGCGCCACAGTGCAGTGCGGCCGCCTGGAGTCCGTGGACACCCGGGCGTGCGGCGCGGTGCTGCACCAGGTCGACAGGGTCCTGGCCGCGCCCACGCAGAGCGCCTGGGACATCCTGCAGCAGCGGGAGGACCTCAGCCACATGCGCGACATCGTTGAGGTGAGTAAGGATGTCACGTCGGCTATATGCCTACGTGGATATGAAAGAGAGTGAAATGGTGAGGGGGGGGG